AGCCTGAGTCTTCATCATGAGCCTGAGTCTTCACCATGAGCCTGAGTGTTCACCATGAGCCTGAGTCTTCATCATGAGCCTGAGTGTTCACCATGAGCCTGAGTCTTCACCATGAGCCTGAGTCTTCATCATGAGCCTGAGTCTTCATCATGAGCCTGAGTGTTCACCATGAGCCTGAGTCTTCATCATGAGCCTGAGTGTTCACCATGAGCCTGAGTCTTCATCATGAGCCTGAGTGTTCACCATGAGCCTGAGTCTTCACCATGAGCCTGAGTCTTCATCATGAGCCTGAGTCTTCATCATGAGCCTGAGTGTTCACCATGAGCCTGAGTCTTCATCATGAGCCTGAGTGTTCACCATGAGCCTGAGTCTTCATCATGAGCCTGAGTGTTCACCATGAGCCTGAGTCTTCATCATGAGCCTGAGTCTTCATCATGAGCCTGAGTCTTCATCATGAGCCTGAGTGTTCACCATGAGCCTGAGTCTTCATCATGAGCCTGAGTCTTCATCATGAGCCTGAGTCTTCATCATGAGCCTGAGTGTTCACCATGAGCCTGAGTCTTCATCATGAGCCTGAGTCTTCATCATGAGCCTGAGTCTTCATCATGTCTTCATCATGAGCCTGAGTCTTCATCATGTCTTCATCATGAGCCTGAGTCTTCATCATGTCTTCATCATGAGCCTGATTCTTCATCATGTCTTCATCATGAGCCTGATTCTTCATCATGTCTTCATCATGAGCCTGAGTCTTCATCATGTCTTCATCATGAGCCTGATTCTTCATCATGTCTTCATCATGAGCCTGAGTCTTCATCATGTCTTCATCATGAGCCTGATTCTTCATCATGTCTTCATCATGAGCCTGATTCTTCATCATGTCTTCATCATGAGCCTGAGTCTTCATCATGTCTTCATCATGAGCCTGATTCTTCATCATGTCTTCATCATGAGCCTGATTCTTCATCATGTCTTCATCATGAGCCTGAGTCTTCATCATGTGTTCATCATGAGCCTGATTCTTCATCATGTCTTCATCATGAGCCTGAGTCTTCATCATGTCTTCATCATGAGCCTGATTCTTCATCATGTCTTCATCATGAGCCTGAGTCTTCATCATGTGTTCATCATGAGCCTGAGTCTTCATCATGTCTTCACCATGAGCCTGAGTTTTCATCATGTGTTCACAATGGGCCTGAGTCTTCATCATGTCTTCACCATGAGCCTGAGTCTTCATCATGTGTTCACAATGGGCCTGAGTCTTCATCATGTGTTCACAATGGGCCTGAGTCTTCATCATGTGTTCACAATGGGCCTGAGTCTTCACCCTGAGCCTGAGTCTTCAGAGGTCTCTGTGCTGTAAATAAATGTTTTTCAGCTGGTGGTCCGTGGACCCATTTTGAGTGGGTCGCAGATGTGCGAGTGAAAAAAAAACAGTTGAGGGAAAAAAGTCTAACTTTTATTTTGAAGGCCGGAATTTCTAATGCTGCACATGCAGTATTCGTTTGCTTTACACGTTACAATGACAACTCTCACGTCATCAGTTACCATTCATAGATTCAATTTGTAAACATGGCGAAACGTAAATATGACAAAAAAAGGGACCAAAACCTCAGTGTGTTGTTTGCAGCAAAATACTGGCACTTGACAGCATGAAACCATCAAACATTAAGCGGCATTTAGAAACAAGACACTCCGCTTATAAAGACAAACCTGTTGAGTCATTTCATAGACGACTCAAGGAACTGAAGGCATCGCAACAGTGCCTGACCTCTTCATGTTCGAGGCAAGATCAGGCACTCTGTGCATCTTACCGCGTAGCTCACCGTACTGCAAAGTGCAAGAAGTCCCACACCATTGCAGAAGACCTTATTTTACCTGCCGCTGTCGGCATGGTCAGAGAGGTGCTGGATCAATCTTCAGCAGATAAATGAAGGCCATGCTTCTGTCAAATGAAACCATAAGTAGGCGGATTGAAGAAATGTCCGATCACATTAAACAACAGACCACAGCTCGCATCAAAGCAAGCGCTCACAATGAAGAGAATACTGGAAAAGACTCATAATGTATGTATGTATGTATGTACTGTTCTTTCTGTTGCCGTCTGGCAGACGTTACCGCAGCATCCGGGCAAGGACAAGAAGATTCGGAGACAGTTTCTTCCCGCGGGCAGTGAGACTGTTAAAAAATTGAACTGTTGAAACAACTTCAAACATTCAACTGCTACTCAGTAGTATGTATCTAATACCTAATATATATATATCATTCCAATAACTTGTATATAGACTCATACTGCACTATTCCACATCATAACTTTATTTCATTTTTATAACTATTATTATTTTTGTATTGCTCTTGCTCTTATTGTTATTATGTTATGTTATTATGTTGCATTGTTGGAGAAGCCTGTGACATAAGATTTTCAACTGCATAATTACTCTGTAGCTATGTCAGATTGACAATAAAGAACCTTGAACCTTGAACCTTGATGTGTGTGTGGTACCTGTGGTTGTTGAGGGATGTTGAAGCCTGGGTCTCTGGGTCCGACGCTGACAAACCGCTGGGCTGGAGATGAAGTGGGGGTGGAGTACGCTTCACAAAACACACATATACACAAAGTTTAGTTTACCAAGAACAAGCTGATGGGGTTTTATGTATGTTAGGGATGACACTTGGCAAAGTGTACATAATAACTTTCTTAGGACTTGAAAGACAACGTTAGACTTCATAGGCAACACCTTTCTGCAGTGTGTGTGAATTGGATTTCCAATCGCATATTTTTGCCGCTGTAAGCTAGGTAGCTAGCATTTTTAATGGGACCAAATCAAAACCCACATGTATTCATTTTATTTGTATACTGCTCTAGTTAGCAGAGAAACTGCAATAGCGGCTGTATACGGCTCTTCTGTTACGAAGTGAAGTTGTTGGTCGTGGAGTTTGAAAAAGCACACACGTTCCACACTTAACTTTCTGACCGTTATGAGGGCTACCCGATTCTAGGTACTTGTAGTGCATTTGACCATACTTGGCATTGGAGGTACTTTTGTTTTTCTGTTTTTTTTAGTATATAAGAATGAAAGGAACTACATGTTTTGAGAACATTTAATAGCAAGCCTCCAATCTGTTCAGCAAAGCTCTCTTATCTTTGAAAATGTAAGTAGATGTAATTTACTATGATTCCTGTGTAAATAAAGACTTTCTTAAACTAAAAAACATGGCTGACCAAGCTATTGCTGCCTCGCTCCGTTAACCAGAGCAGAACAATTGTTCCTTTCTGGATTTTTTGTTTTTGTTAACCTGGCTAATTATCTATTTTCTACAAATCAGTCCATTAGTTCTGAAACGTTTCAATGAACAAATCAAAAGCAGAAGGAATGGACTTGGTAATCCTAGCTCAGCTAGAGACTGTAAGCAGGGAGAACTGTTAGCCTTTCATCTTTCAACAACTTCCCTAACTCAAGCTGTGGAAGTATATCAATCAGGATTCATAGTGTTGTCAGATTAAATAAGATTGTACAATTCTTTAAGTAATTATTTAAAGATCTGGGTCAGAGTGAGGACAAATCTTTATTTCCTGCTAAAAATGAAGTACATTTGGACTCCACTCAAGCTGAAAGCAACCCAAAACAGAAGTGATGAAAATATAATATTATCATGTGTTGTTGATGTGTATAAATGAGGAGGATTAAATATGAGTGTTTTTTTGCCAACAACAGTAAATAGACACTAAACCCTTAAATCAAATCAAATCCAATTACATGCAGTCACCCCTCACACATTACGAATAATGTCTTTAGATTTTGAAGTCAATATTAGATTATCTAATAAAATATTGTTATGTTTAATAAACCAGTGTTCTTGGTTGTGAAGGCGTCACATGATTCACAATGATGTGTACATCTTGGGTATCATTTCAAAGTTAAGAAATAATAAAAACATCGTATTATTTGCACTCACTGGGTGAGGTGGGTGAGTTTCCTCCACCGTCGGAGGAGGTGGAGGGTGGCTTGGCGTCGACAGGAAGTGGGACGGGACGGGCCATCGGGGGAGGTGGAGGGGGGGGCAGCATGGGCGTCGGCAAGAAAGGATTGTGGACCTTTCCCTGGGAGCTACCATTCGGCTGAAGGAGGGGAGTTAAAAAAGCATTTAAAACAAAGATATTCACAGTATGTAGAGCAGGAAACATCAACAGGTCGGTCAACAGTAACCTGTAACAGCTCAACTCCCTGCCCTGAGAGTGTGAGTGTGAAACTCTGAATGTGTGTGTGAGTGTGTGTGTCAGCAGTTTTACTGGCTGGTCATAAAGAATTCTGCTGCTGCTCGCATTTTATCCTGCTAATCTATAAGCATGATACCACATTACCTCGCTTCACCTCTCTGCCTCCTTCTGTCTCCCATCCTCCCTTCACATACTCTTCATATGCTGAATTACACTGTTTCTTTATCTAAGTACATGCCTGTACAGTCTGTTTGTCTGTTTACATGGACATTAGTATCATGCATGTATATTCTTTAGAGACCTGGAACTGCTCCCTGGAGAACGTTAAGGAACCGAGACTCTGCCGCATTAGAACACCTGCCCTTTGTTTCCAGTTCATGTGTGAACAAGTACATACTTTTCTTTCCCTTTTACTTGTATTCCACTACAGGTTTAGTATCTTGACAAATGCATACTTTTTTGCACACAAAAAAAAGTAGAAAAGTCAAACTGAATTCATTAGTTGATAACAAAAAAGAAATGTCTCGCTGTTTTACCTAATATTTTCAAATCAAATGATAAATCATTTGATTCAGAAATAATAAGAAGGATTGACTCATGATAACAAATAATGTTTAGTTAATGGTTTATTGTCAAGTGCTGATTTTACATGAATGCATTATTAACAAGTGTCTTGTGATACAATATTCAACAGTATAATAGTCAAAGGCATTTTTTTTATACTATATAAACATTTTCCTTATTATACTTTTCACTAAAGTAACATTTTCAATGCAGTCATTTT